AAACTCTAAGTTGGTTAAAATAGCTTTGAGAGAAAATTCCTAATTTAACCCTCTAAATTAGCTTAGAATTTAAATCGACTTTAAATTGGATCATGAATCCAAAACAAAGCCATAAAATTGTTGAAAAAATCAACCAATAAGTTATCAAAATTCCAACCAACTAAACAATTAAGTTCCAACCACAAAAATATCCAAGTATGCGTAAACGTCACACCAAAACGTTCAAATTCAACGTATAACAACAATCGCATACAATATCAACAAAATTATCGCACAAAAAAAAGATTAAAAAAAAAACCCGATGAACAAAAATCAACTATAAAAAGTTCATTATCGACGAGGCAAATTTAATTTTAAAAATTTGACTAAAAACCACAACCGGCAAAGCAAACACAACTTAATAGTAACTTACATATATCTCCAACTAAGGAGTTAGTGAGTTTGATCTCTCACCTCCACATGTTGTACTAAAAAAAATCAACCACCATGGATTATCTAGTAACATTGAGGTTAAAATACTACTTTTAAAATGTTCATTTTGGTCCTTGTACTTTCAACTTTTATTCATTTTGGTGTTCGTACTCTCAAAATGTTCATTTTAATACATGTAATTTTGAAAAGTAATAATTTTTTTCTCTCAATTTCATTTTTAAATAACAATTTCCCACTATTGGTATAATTTGTGTTAAAATTTTGAACATAGGGATCAAAATGGTCACTTTTTAAAAGTACAGAGATCAAGACGAATATTAAAAAAGAGTACATGAATCAAAATAAACTAAAGCTCAAAGTAGAACGACGAAATTAGTATTTTAACGGAAAGAAACAAAAGGCGTAACAAAATCAATACTGTACATTTATTATCATTCAATTTTTGAATAAATGAAGAAAGAAAAAAACTTGTCGATGAGAAGAATCGTAAAACAGACATCGAATAAAGTTTTGCCGAAGATAAACAATGGCTTGCATTTAAAAGGACGTTGGACCTAACTTCCAATTCAACAATATCTATAGTATGTATCACTATTATTAAAATGATATTGAAGGCCTAATAAATCTTTTTTTTTTTTTTCCTTCCCCTTTGTATATCCATTTGAAAGCACGTGGGTGGATTATTGTTGTTATTATTATCATATTCCATCAACAACCATAGTAGACCTCCAATAATTATGCTTCTAACACTCCATAATTTCACTTAACCCTTTTCCAAACCCAACCACTTTTTTTTCTTCTATATGCGTGACTGAGCCTTTGGACCAAACTTGAGTTTAAATATGTGCTGTGTTGTAACGTTCTAGACATGATTTGTCCTTACGATTGAGTTACCGAAAAGGGAGGTCTATCTATAGGCAGTGACTATCATTTCTTTTAAGTCCTTCTTGATCATTCTTCCATGATCTTAGGATCTCTCTTGTTCAGATGTGGTATCGGTTCATTCATATACCCTTCATTTCTACTCGAGTGTCACATGTGTTGATGCTGATGGGCCCTTAGCTCGTTAGGGAGTTGAACAAGGAGTATTTTGTAAATAAGGTGAATACATCCACGATAAAAGGGAAGGGGTATCTTTTTGTCATTTTGTTTGAGTATTATTTGGGCCAGGTTCCAGAGCTCTATAATTCTCCCTTGACCCTTGTAATGCCGCTAATCTGATTGATTTTTAGGTCAAACCCAAGCTAATCTTATTTCCTTTTGATTTGGTAATCCTGTTCATAAACAAATTCTAGCATATTGTTGTTAAACATTTGAAAAGCATCCAACTAACTCGACTTTTGACATTAATTAAAGTACACGAGGTAGCACGGTCAAAAAGTATAGTTAGATCTCGCAACCATACAACTAAACGTTACGCGAACGACATACACACTCAATAATTCCTTTGGATTAATGAAACCAAGTTTGTTTGAATTGGGTCCACCAGCAGAAAAAGGAAAAGAAAAAAATAAGTTCAATCAGAAAGATAAGAAAGAAAAAGGAAGGTTGAGGAATCAAATCATCATCAAACAAGACTAAATGAACACAACTAAGAATTTTTCTTTTCAATTTTCAAGAATATACCTTTTTTTCTAAGTTAGAGAGAAAAAAGGGAGGGTGGGGAATTTGAGTTTCATTCCTAACCCACAAAACAGAGCCTTGTTTGGGTATTTTGTCATCTAGTTGAGAATGGCTGTTTCACACACATCTCTCTGTCTCTTAGATCTTAGTGCTTTGTTTTGAACTCCCAAAAGAATACTATAATTTGCAAAGCAGAACCAACCAAGAAACAGTCACATATGATAGAATGCAACACACTTCCATGTCTAATTCCAAAACAAAACAAAACCCAAAGGAAAAAAGGAAAAGGAAAAAAGGGTCAAAAAGCTAATCATCCTTTATCTGAGATTCTGTTTGGTTGGTGTGTGATGGAGAACCAAACAGAAACCTTACCATCTAAAAGCTGTTTTGTTATCTTTCAGTTTTCTTTTTTCAATCCACACAGCATCTCTCTGGTCAGTTCACTTTCCCCTACAGAACAAGCTCAATCATGGAGATGGACAGTAAAAATCATATTTGCAGTAAAACTTTCTGAGCAGAAGAAAGTAACAGAAGAGATTTGAGTTCCCATGGCTTCATAGAAGAAGACCCAAAACAGTAACCTAGAAAGCTGAGGTGTGGCTGTGGAAGGGGAATTGGAGCAGAAAGCTATAACCCAGATCAGATCTTTGCCTAAAAGTTTGGAGATCACAGTTCTGTAAAAGAAAATTTAAAAGGCGTTTTAGCAATGGTCTCATTTCTTGTTTCTTATTTCCTGCTTCAAAAACACAGTATTGCTTTGCATTAGTAGTCATTTCTTGTTTTTTGTTCTCTCAAATTTCAAAGAAAAAAAAAGTCAGAGTTTTACTTCAAAATTTTTGAGAATGTTACTATGAAAATGAGAAACAAGAAACAGAAAGAAAGAGAAAATGAGTATGTTATCATTAAATCCTTAAAGGATCCTTCAAAGTTCTGTTCTGGACATCTAAGTTGGAACAAAAACCAGACATCAGATGAGAACTTGATGCTTAATTTCATCAAAAGTAGATCCACAGCTGAGCAGCAGAAAAGGCAATTAAATACAGAATCATGACAATTATTTTTCCTAAGCAAATGCAAAGAGGGAAGGGATGATCAAGAAACTAAGTAAAACTAGATAGTTAAATCATACAAGAAAAAAGTTACAGAGAAATCTATTGATGTACTAGCCTTTTTTGACAGAGATGTGAAAATGTTGTTCGTTCTTCTCTCTCACCACGCCAAAGAAAGGAGAAGATGATGATGAATTATGGATTAAACAACCCTGTTTCTCTTCTGGCCTGCTTTTCCATCTGACTTCAAAGCTCCACTGGAATCGCCTTCTGAAGAAACTTCCACGGATCTGGTGAAGTTATATGAAAGATCAGCATATAAGTCAACAACCCTCCTGATATTGTTGTTTAGTTCTCGGATCAGACCCACATTTCTGTTGAGGTTGTCAGGGATCTTTGACTCGTGGTTTTGGTTTATTTCACTGATGAGCAGCTTGTTTTGATCCAATATGCTTTGGACTTGAACAAAATTCTTCTGAAATCTCTGTAAAATCTTGCCATCAATCTGGGCACCACTGCCAAGCCCTGAAAATGTGTCACCCTCCATGCTTTTACAGACCAGAAAATTCTATCCAATCAGAACCGTCTCTGCATCAAAACATGAAAAAGAAGAAGAAGATCATGATCATGACTATGAGAAAGAGCAAGAATTCTTTATCATTCATAAGTTTTTTTGTCTAACTGAGAACCCATAAATGTGAAGAAACATTTGGTACTTTGTTTTTTTTTTATCTTTTTCTTTTTTCCTTCAGTTTGGAATTTAAGCACATGAGACAAAAACTGTAGAAGGAATCATGACCACCACGGTCCAGTTTTGAAACAGAGGAATCAGATAACAAAGATGGAGGATTTTAATTATATGATTATTTTATTTGATTTTATGATGAGAGGAGGAAAAAAGCAGAAGCACTTCCATAAAAGGGAACCTTTTTTAATGTGCTCAGAAAACACCCACCTAATAGGCTCAGAGTTCCAAACAGGTATTCCAAAGACCCAAAAAAACCAGTCAATGATGCAGAAATATGAGGCCATGAGAGCACCTCAATAGAGACAGCATTAT